CTAATTGGTTGAGTTTGCCTGGACAATCATCGAACATCTTGGTGGGTAAATAGATGTACCTGCGCATTATGTGGCTCGTTTAACGAACTTCTAATAATTGATAATTTCATTCGCACGAAGTATTGATTTTTTAATAATCTTTGAGCGTTAGATATCTCGTATATGTATATACAATTTATTATTTAATCTAAATATTGCCTCAAGTATTATATCATTTATAATGCCCGTTATAGAGAGCATAAGTGAACAGTTGTCGTCTTTGCACCTGCTAGAGGAAATCACCGAAGAGGTTGTAGCATATGCAAGGTATGGCGAACTTTCTGAGTTGCAGCTCATAATGAAATCATATCCTGTTACATATCTTTCTTCGAGAGACGCCTCTGGAAACACAGCATTACACATGGCAAGTGCAAATGGACATACAGGCATATATTTTATTTTGCTTTTTGATATTTATTATATTTAATCTGATAAATTATTTACAATAAAATGCCTTATAGACATTGTAGAGTATATAATACAAACATCAGGAACTTTGGGAAATGATGTGGTGAACGCGCAAAATGAATTGGGAAATACGCCACTACATTGGAGCGCATTGAATGGTCATATCGAAGTAGTCACTTTATTGATATCAAATGGAGCTGATGTAAAGGTAGATTTAAATATAATTTTGAATCTTTTCAAAACAAAGTAATAAATAAATATATATATATATATTTTTACTTCGACTTTATTCTGATTTGAATAAAATAGATTAAAAATAAAGCGGGAAGAACAGCAATGTATGAAGCCCAACAGAATAATCATGAGAAAGTGGTGGAATACTTATTATCTAAATTGGAACCTGAAAAAGAACCAAATGAAGAGTCAAATATAGAAGATGTTAATTGATCATAGATCAAATCATTTTTTTTTTCTCTTAATTCTTGTGTATATGCTATATGTACAGTACATTATAAGAATATTTTATAAGAAAAGATTCTGATGAAACTTTTTTTATTAATTAAATTTTGATCATGCTAACTAATGTGCGTATAATAAATTTCAATGCCCATCTTTTTTGCCATCTAATGTTATTTTCTATTTAATATGTTTAATATTATAACCATCATACAATTCTTCAAGAAGTTATTGTACCAATTACATACTTTGAAGTTTATAACAATATTAATTCGAATCATCGCAATCCGCGATGGATTTGTTTGAGGTCTATAAAATATACTTATTCTACATATGAGCTAGGTACTGGAAAAAGGGACAAAAATGACAATTTTACAAAAAAAAAATTTTTTTTTGAGCTTAACTAATTCAAAATTAATTCAGAAACATTTTTCACTTAAGAAAGAAATGCTATTACATTAATAAAATTTTACAGGATAGCCTTTTAAAGTTTATATTTTCTTATGATTTAATATAAATTTTATAATATAAAAATCAATTTTTTTGTAAAACTTACATTTTGTCAATTTCGTCCCTTTTTTCTCAGCACCTAACCCATATATTAAAACCTTTTTAAGATATTAAAACTTCTTTGATGATCATACATTAATATAACACATTGGATTTGAAATCAAAAAATTTATGAACTACTGTATTAACCTTACTGCAAATAGCAACAACGTGTTAATTGATCTTCCTCATTATAATGTTACTATATTTGTGTATATAATCAAGGTAGCAAAATTTTACGTACGTACGTAAATGCTATTCGTCACGTGACGATGGGTTCAATGACACGAACAATATGGTATACCCGCTTCTTTTGATTCGCAGATTAAAAATACTGTTAGTCAATGTGACTCTCAACATTGTGAAAAAAAAAAATAAATAAGAAAAATTGGACAGATCATGCAAAATTATTTACATAGTTTACTTAACATCATTCTAATACACAGCTGAATATCAATCAACGCAAGCAATGCCATTTTAAATTCATTTCAGTCCACAACAGTTTAGTTAATATCGAGACCCATAGATAAAACCAGTTTCTCCAACATCAAATATGAGTCATAATATAATTCAGTATATAAAAAAAGGTAATAATAATGATGATAAACTTGATGATAAACTTTAACCAAAAAAAACTGTTTAGTCACTAAAGTATTTATTTTACAATGTCTCACGCTCATGCGATAAACTTGCTTGAAATAAAATGAATATATTTTATTGTGGAGTTGCTTGAGATGTTTGCCTCCCAATACGATCTTCCTTTTCTCTAATATATCGTCGTAAAAGTTCCTCCAAAGTATTATCTTGTTGATCAACCGCGATTTGTGTCGCTCTTCGTGCTAATTCCCAGATCCAGAGTTTCGCTGCATCATTATCTAATCCTTTTAAGTCAGTTCCTCCTTTAAATTTTTGCACAGCACTAGCAATGTCACGTGCTGGAAGTTGATGATTCGGATATTTCGCTTTCAATAATTGTCGTTGAGTGGTAACTCCTAAATTACCATGAAGAGTATAAAATTCAATATCATCAAGAACTGCTTTTGGTAAATTTCGATTTTTTGGTGAAGCTGCTTCCAATACACTACGATATCTTGGTGATGAAATTGCAGAAGTCGTTGATGGTTGTGCTGATGGTCTAGCTTCTCGCGTTTGTTGAATATTAAGTTCATGATTATGTTCATTCACGAAAGTAGTAACAGTTATACATGTACTTGTTTTTGGAAAAGAAAGATTGATATGCCATCCGCATTCAATACGTTTCGATGTCCGATTACGTTGCTCATGTACTGCTGCTTTTTTTTTTGGAGTATATCGTCCTCCATGTTCACAATCATACGTCCTTTTTCTAACCATTCCCATTTCATCTCTTTCAACTCGTTTTTTCCTAACAACAAACCCTCGCTCTCGACCATAAATTTCAAGAAATTCGTCCACATTTTCCCAATTTTGAAAGGTCGTACCAACTGCAAGAACTGCACTTGGGTTGGCCGGTTGAGGTGCAACGAAAGTACCATTATCGTTAAGTCCCCCCGCATTACCACTAAACCCTGCTGAATCTTCTTGCGGTGTAGCAGGTGACAATGGAATAATGGTTTCTCGATGACCGGATCCGTCTTGTTCAACAGGAAGCGCGATTGGTGTTGGTTGAATTGGTGAAATTGCTGTCAGCATAGGAACGTCCTCTCGTACTTCATAATTCATATTTGATCTTTTTTAATTTACTTTACCGTGTTTGCTAAAGTTGCAAAGGGCTTTATCGACAATGTATCAATAAACTATGAAGCTGAAGTTCGAAATTCAATAATCTTAGGACTTTCAGTTTCTCCCTATTAATACGGAGATCGGAAGATTAGGTTTTGATTTAGCCAATCATGATTATATAGACACATGACATATTACATTAGGTCGTGGATGTTACACACTCAATGTTGCAATGCTTGCAGCCAATAAAATATTTCTGAATTTTTC